TAAATTTGGAATTTACAATCGAGCAATGCGTTTCTTGACCCTTTGATCATATTTTGTAGTGATTTCAAATATATATTCATTTAATTTGGAGTACCAGTCGAGTGCGGATCTACTCTGCGGGCTTCTGCCATAAATAAGTTTCTGCAAATTGAATTCTTCTACATATTCATTACAATCATGTGTGTGGTTTATTAGTCTTGGGAGTTGACTATCAGGGCTGAGAATCGAAACTTGTCCTACTGTGTTAAGTTCGACACAAATGGCTGTTGCGGGTTTATATAATGTATTGGCATATAGTCCTCCTTTCTTTGAAAAGTCTCAACCTAGCACTCGGGCATCTTCTCTTTTGCAAATGTGGCGGGAGATTGAGAGTGAGCATGTAGTGGGTCATTCTCCTAGCCCAAGGCCACTGAGGAGTGATGTTTCAGATTCTGACCAATTGAGTGCGATAACTTCAGATGGACAAAGGAGTGATAACGGGGATTATAACTCTGAAGATGCCATCGAGGTTGAGAATCAAGGCCGAATGGGGTTGCAGAATGACTATGAGGATAGTAACAGCACTATTTCTGAGCAATTTATTGATTTTGGAGAATTTGGAAGAGAACGGGTAAGGCAAATTTTTCGGGAATGGATGAACTGTGGTGCTAAGAGTCATTCTGCTACTGTTCTGCGTATGGACAAGCAATCAGGGCCACAATGGCTTGCGGAGAACGAATGTGAAAGGGTGAGAGTCATAAGAGAATGGGTCCAGAAGAATACCCAGCAGGGCAGCAGTTGTGGCTCATGTAGAGATGGAGACGCTGAAATTGGTTCTCAATTTGAGCAGGTGCGTGATGGCTTGGCAGTCAATCATTCCGAGGTTGGCGCACGGAGGCCCATTCAAAGATTATGTGGCAGACAGACTCTTCTTGATCTTCTTCTGAGGGCCGAACAGGAAAGAAGAAGAGAACTTCAGGGTTTGTCTGAGCAGAGGCCAGTATCAGACTTTGCTCATCGCAATCGCATTCAGGTATGACCCTTTGCGTTGATGTGAGCTTTTAGATCTATTAATATACTGTCCTGTAACATAACTCTTCTTGGTCAAGTTCTTGTGGGATCGATTGACAGTGTCTATAAAGCAAATTTACAATTTGTTCATATCATTGTTGTTTCTTATAACACAATTATCTAATTTTATGCATTTCCATAGAAGCTAACTTTATGAATCTGCATATAATGTTAGGGATTCAGTCATCGTGAAATCTATAATAGAAGAACTCTTTCACCCACATTAATCCCATACATCTCTTGCAGGCATTACTTCGTGGCAGGTTCCTTCGAAATGAAAGATTAATCTCGGATCAGAGACCATGTTCAATAGCTGCAACTGAATTGGGTATGCTGAGTCAAAGACATGCAGTATCTGACCTCAGGTAGATTCTAGTGATATATGCTTATAGATATTTAGAGAATACTGAGGGAAAAAGTGATGTCCATTTGAACTTGGCAGATCTTGTATAATAATATTTATCTTGTCAGCCTTCTTTTGCGATGATTCTCAACTTCTTCCCTTCTATATCTGCCCTGTTTTTATTGAATTTACACAATAACCATATAATTTTTGAATTACAATAACATTGACGATCTCTATAGTTTTCTGCTTGTATACATGTTTGGATCCATATACACAAAATTATGTAGCTCTTAGATAAGGTAGGAGGAGGAGCTAAAAGCTCTAATCAATTCATCTATATCCTGAAATAAGTAGTGGAGTTCCCAAATGTTAGCAAAATCATAATCCCCTCCCCGCTATCCAATTCTTTCATTGATTGTAAAAAGTCCTGGGAGGTACGGACACTGAACATGATTAGCTTGTAGAAAATTGTTGCATCATTGTTTTTCTTTTGTAATAGTTCTCATACCTTGACTTCCATGTGACAATCATCTTTTTTTATTCCTTTCTAGAGTTCTTTTTTCTCAATGTCATAATTTTGTGATGCAGGGAAGGATTTCTCTCCAGAGTGGACAATTCTGCTCAGATTTTGATGAACAGCAATAATGAGCATATAGATGAACACGAGGTAATCACTGGTAAATCACAGCCTACTTTCAGGGAAAGGGATACCACTATGATTCTTCCAGCAGGAGACTCAGAAAGGGGCACACATGAAAACATTACTCAACAGGAGTTTGTTATAGAACGTACTTCTGAAGTAGAGGAGCCAGTTTTGGACAATGAGGAAACGTTGCAAGAAGCATCAACAGAAGAGGTTGAACGGGCTCGTAGTAGACATGGTATAGAGATCAATGACACTGGAACTACCATGGATGATATTGCCAATGAACGGTCATTGGAAAATGTGAATGTCGATGGCAGTGAACATCTTGAAGTTTTTGCTGAAAATTATGAACATAGAACCGAGGTAAATTATGCCCATGAGGTAGCTGGTTACTCTGATAATGTGGAACGAAATGCAAATGAAGAATTTGATTGGGAAGATTCTTCAACTCAATTGGACAGATTGCGAGAGAGAGTAATTGAGAATGAAGAAAGTAGCTGGCAACAGTTAACTGGCATTCCATTTTGTGAGTGGGCAGATGATAGAGGTTGGCAGGGAAACTCTGCTAATCAGCGGTTTCAAGAAACATCTGGTAATGGTGTGGAGCGAGTTCAGATGCAAGAATCGCATGAAGATTGGCGAGGTCATGACTTGCAAGAGGCTCTTGGTAGTCGGTTAGATGTGCCTTCTGGAGAAGACAATGCATCCATTGGAAGAATTGGAGGAGTTTACTTCCCAGATGATGATAATGTTTACAGCATGGAACTTAGGGAGGTTTTCAGCCGGTAATGATTTTGTCATTCTTCACTCGAGCATTTTCTGATATTCATTGAATTTCAGGTAAACTATTGATTTTTGTTCTGAACATCTCTTTGTGCTGCAGGAGACGTGTTTCTAGTCTTCTTCGAAGTGGTTTCCGCGAAAGTCTAAGCCAGGTTCTACAATCACACTTGGAAAGGCAAGGTCACGCTTCTAGTGATTGGGAGTTGGACAATGCTTCTTCTTCTCTTGCTCCCACTGAACAAGTTGAAGAACAGATAAATGGTGATCAAGACTTGGCTCAGGATGGCACAGAAAGAAATCCATTTGTTTTCTCCTCTCCATTCGGCAATGCTTTACAGCGAATTTCAGATGAAGAATTGCAGGATGCAAACTGGCCATGCAACAGCTCTTCACAGCTCTTGGGAATTGTAAGCTCTGCCATTAGTGAATTTGCTTTACTGTTTTAGATTGAGATTGGATATTTCGATATAAATTGAAATATTGGATTTGGTTAGTCAAATTACTTGATTCCATTAAGTGAAAGAGGTGAAATGGTCACATTAAGCTAATTTCAGAACCTAATAGCATTTAAGAATCATGTATGAAGAACCCTCCCTAATATAGCAAAAGTTTGAAGATATATAAGTCCATCTTTTCTGGGAACCAATTAATGAATTTCCCTGAGGCCTACTTGAAATTTATACTTCTTAGATCTAATGGATATGGTAAAATTATTTGGTACACTTTTTGGGTTATTTGACCATCTTACCCTTTGGATGCCCCGTCACGCTTCTGCTCTTGTATCTCGGCGTGGAAATTTTCTTCCGTACTTTGTTTACTATTTCTGTTTTCTGAAATTGATATCGTAGGTGACAAAATTCTAATAAGCTATTTTCCCTCATTTAGTTAATTGAGTTTTTGGAGCTTCCCCCTGCTTACGTTTAACTTATGATAAGCACGTATTCTGCTGATGAACATTCCAGGATTGGGACGTCATCAATGAATTGAGAGTTGATATGGCCAGGCTTCAGCACAGGATGGACGATATGCAGAGGATGCTCGAGGCATGCATAGACATGCAAATAGAATTGCAGCGCACACTGCGTCAAGAGGTTTCTGCTGCCTTAAATCGGTCAAATTTATCTACAGGTTAGATTTTGTGCCGGGTGGGTTCTTGTGGTGGGGGTGGTGTTAATATTTGTAATTTTGAATGAATTTAAATTCATCATTTCTCCATGTATTATTTTTCCTGCAGCAAAAAGTGTTTCTCTTTAACTAATTCCTACCACTTTGTTTCTTATCTTATTTACCTACCACCACCAATCATCTTCCTATTACATATATATGTGCTTCTTTATCTCCTCTAGTATGAATTGACGAATTCGACTTTATTATGAATGCAGATAAGCTTGCAGGTACTATGCCTATCAATGAATGTCAATGGAATCACGTGAAGAAAGGAATATGTTGTCTATGTCATGATAGCCACATAGATTCCCTGCTGAACAGGTAGGGAATTACAAAGTTTTAGTTACTTATTTTTCCAAACATGGTTTTCAAAGTCACCTTTTCTACTAACAAAACTTACTTTTTTAGAAAGTCAATCTCAGCTTACTTTCTTAACAGATAACTTTAAACCACAGCCTTATGGAACGTTGCGAGTTCATTTTTGGCAATGACCATGTTAAAAATGACATCTGTTTCTCATACAGGTGTGGACACATATGCACCTGTTCAAAATGTGCCCAAAAATTGGTCCAAAATACCGGGAAATGTCCACTGTGCCAGGCACCAGTAATTGAGGCTGTCCAAGCGTACTTTATACAGTAATGGAAAAAGAAAAAAACATAAATAGGTGAAAAGAGTAGAATGATTCAAGTTGAAGTAAGAAGGTTGCCTTTCAGACAAACACAGCTCTAGCTTCTGGGTTCTCGTCCTGGTAACAGAAATAACTTATCACACAGATTCGATTCACATAATTTATTTTCTTCTCTTGTGAGGATGAAAAGTTCATGAAAGGGAAAGAGAGTCACATGGGGTGTCCTCCGGAAACAGAATCTGTGAAGAAATAGCGAAAGATTGTGTTATTATCGGGTTAGTTGCTATATATGTTTTATGTTTCCATGGCATCCCTGATTCATTGTTATAATCAGAATAAGCCATGAATAACAGTGAATTATTTTGGATATTTTTAACGGAAGGAAGTCATTAGTTTTAGAAATGGCTTTATTGTGAAAAACTCGTCATATGGTGAGAATATAGATGACGGATGAAGTTTCAACTGCTGATTTTGGCATTGCTTATAGTGTTGGTTGATGTGTTGAGAAGATGACAATAAGAAAAATATTGATTGTACAGAAGCGTGCTTCATGATCAACTCCAAATCCATTGAAAGAAAGCATGCTATGCAGAAGCTGAAATTATTCCTTATTCGTTATCATCTTATAAACTTTAACATTTTTTGTTATTGTCGTATCTAATATTGATGTCAAGCTCATCCCCGAGGAAGCCTAGTGAGAGGGTGGAGCACCTGGACCAAAGTTTCGTTAAAAATAATTTCAAAATTTTACACTTGTAATTCCGCTTGTCTTAATTTATTTTATAAATAGGGAGTCTTCATTACGGCTTGGAATAACAACAGCAGTGGAAGAGATGTAATCTCACAATGAGGCGAATCTATACAAATTTTGGGTGTTCTTTTATTTGGTGGAATAAAATTAGAATTTTTAATTCTTAACAACGCTTTATGAAATTGTGGGAAGAAAAAAATCTTACTGTGTGCGAAGAATTGGACTATCACTTCATTGAATTTTGATGATGCGCCCCCATTTTATTTTCATTCTTTGATTATAAAATTGAAAAATATGATTGTTATCCATCACATTAAGCTGTAATATTTGACTTTCTATCTCTTGTGTTGGTCCCATAACAACTATATTTTTCATTTTTATTCTTACAAAAATGGATGCCAAACGAGGTCTATAACTTGTCTGAGCCTCATTTTCTCAATTAAATTCATTATAAAATAGTATTCTGATGGAGAATATGGTTAAAAATAAAGAAAAATTTTGAATTTACGTGTAATATTATTTTATTGAAAAATATGTATTTAAAAATAAGAGGAAAAAATGTATTTTGAAAATTATGGAACCAAACAAGTCAATAAAATATTTGCTCTTTTGAAGTTCATAAATTAACTTACTATTTGCTCGTCGAGATTGGACCATTATTAGCATTAAAAAGAGAAGGTCGTAGACATGTCCTTGTTACGTACATAACTAGATATTTTAAATCAGCAAAATGGCCCTTTCAAAAAGCTACCACAAACAACATTGTGTATTAAATATTAATTAAATAGTAAAACTTAAAACCTTTAAGCTGCCAATCAATTACACCCTTATTTGATTTAGATAAAATTGATTTTTAGTAAATTTTGATAAAAATTAATGATATAGGTAATGAAAATTGATAAAAGTTGGGAGTCATATAAAATATGTGATTGAAGAATTTAGGTACAGTGATTGGTGAGTTTCAAAAAATGAGGATCGAACTGCAAGTTCCTGATTTTCTAGTACATGATACAATTGCGTCTCTAATAAGAAGAAATTTAAACTTTTACAGTATCGTCTCTTGTTTATCAGATCAAGCTTTGAACATCATATTTTTATTAGCTAGACGCTAAATCATACGTTTCTCTTTCAAATTCGTGGATTATTTTATATTTGACGAGAAAAAAATAAGCACACCTCGACTTTAAAAAAAAAAAATTAATGTTTTATACATATAGTCTATTTGATTCTTACTTTTATTGGATAATGTATTTTGAAATATTGGATTAATGAAAAAGCGTGGTTAAAAAATAAGAAAATAATTTTTGTTTGTGTGTAATGTTATTTTTATTAAAAAATGTGTAGATGAAAATAGAGAAATAATAAAAAATAAACTATAGAGCATGGTTGGCCGAACTAGAACAATAACTTGTCCTTCTTACAGGCACAATATCTTCATCTCTAAAGGTGTCACCATTAATCACCGTTGATCTCTCACCGATCTCACTCACACCAATGTCAAGTTTCTCCTGCTTCACATCCAAACAAACCTCCTCAACTCTATTGAACATCTGAGTGGACCGACAGACAGGACACGTCACGTGCGAGGACAGCCACGTGTCAACACACCTTGGATGAAACACGTGCCTACAATAGGGGATTAACTTAACAATTTCCGTTTCTTCAAACTCGCTCAAGCAGATTGGGCAGTCTTCAATTATCTGGTGCTTCGCGGACACACCGCAGGGAACAAGAGGGAGTGATTTCATTGCAGAGGGGTCGAGACCCTTGTGTTTGTTTGATGTCGGGGGTGTAACGTTGTCGGAGGACGACGAAGAAGAATCGTCGGCGGTGAAGAAGCGGATGTAAACAGAGAAGAAGCCCATAAAGAAAACGACGGCGAGTAGAACGAGAACAGTTAAGGCCATGGAGAAGTCGAAAGGTGTGGTTGCTCTAAAGGGTCTTTTTATGGTGGTTGAGGAGCCATTAATGGGACTTCTTGAGGCGGTGTCTGGTGAGAAAGTGTTGTCTACTGCATAGAGGTCTGCTTGAAGCAGCCTTCTATTCAGACTGGTATGATTCATTCTGGTTAAAGCTTAAAATTTTTGCTATTCAAGAAGCAAGTGTCGGAGTGTGTCGGAGTATATGTAGTTCTAAATCAAAAACCGAAAGGCTGTAGTAATCGGGAAGTAATGGTTTAATGAAACAAAGTGAAGGAAAGAAAGAGTAAAAGAGAGAAGGAAATAAAGGAAATATGTGGGGCTCCTTTTTTTTTTTTTTTTTTTTTTAATATAGAGTAGGTGGTGTGCATGGAATGGAATATCGATCTTACGTGAAACTTGTGTATATGCAAAGATTTGGACAAGGGAAGCAAGCAGGCAGGACTGTCTCCTGATTTTGGCTTTTCGAAAAGGGTGACTTCTCGTGATCTGAATTGAAATACTTGGATAAGAATCACTTCCTCGAGTTTGTACTATTTAAGTGGTTGTTTGATATGAATTTTGATAATTGATTTTTTGATCGTTAAAAATAAAGTGAGTTTTATTTATGAGAGCAGAATTTTAAAATAATAGTTGGAATAGTGAAATAGCAGTAAAAAAAATTGATTTTAGTTAGCTTAAAATATGTACCAAACAAACACTTAAGTGTCCGATTGATACACTTATATAATAAAATATTCTATACCTGTATCAAATTTTTTCCCACATTTTAATCACATTATTTTAAAAATCATTATTCAAAACTATTTTCTTCTAAAATAATGGTTGTCAAACAAGCTCTAAATTTATCTTGAATCATACATTTTATAGAATTGATAATTTTTATCAATTTTTCAATCATATGTTTCATCAATTTTTATTAAAATTTACATAAATTAACAGCCTGTTTCGGAGGAATTTTTTACCCCAAAAATTGATTTTTTGATCATTATTTCACTATTTCAGCAGTAATTTTTGACTTATTCTCTCATAGGTGAACCCCACTTTTCTTCTAACGGTGAAAAAATCAATTCTCAAAATCTCTCTCAAACGGGACATAAATATTTTTAGATTATGACTTTTCAAATTGTGCACTTCTGAGAAATATTTTTAAGTCGTTCTTTTAAGTATATATATAATATCAATGGCCAAAAGCCATTTAATTTGACAAATTTTTTTTTTTATAAAAGTTTTAGCAAATTTTAATAAAATTTTATGAATTATGTTAAAAATTTGTGAATTCATTGGATTGTATAATTAAAGTTAATTGTTGATTTTGAGCTCCGTTGTTTAACAAATTTTAAGGCTAGTAATACTCTAGCTGATATTGATAGTGAGCGTCTCGAGCTATTATCCTGTTTGGCGTTGATTAAATTTTCAAAAAAATTTCATCCACATATTTACACAATTTTCATTAAAATCTACCAAAAAAAATAATAATAATTTTTATAACGCCAAACAGGGGCTATAAGTAATAGTCAACATATACTGTTCTCAAAATTGTATAGATTTGAGATCAAAACCTCTCTCTACCTGTGCTTTAGCTGCATGCTGGGAGAGCCCATTAGAATCCAAGGTTATTGCTACAAAATGGTGGTGAAATTAGCGTATGCATTTCGACGTTCAAGCCTAGGGACGAAACGTGACAGTGTCACTATATACCCATCGGGATTTTTTTTTCAACAAAAAATGTTAAAAAACAAAGTTAAAAGCATGGGGAATACATGTCGAAACATGAATGGATAGTTTGAAAAATTCCAAAAAAAAAAAAAAAAAGAAAAAAATCAACCAAATGCTGTTAACTCAGTTTGTCCACACTTTCCCTATTTTTAACCCTGTTCAACCATCATTATTCTTTTTCGAAATGGTAACGGAATTATAATATTTTCATTAATCATCCCATATAATTATTTATTTATTTTGAAATATATTCCAATTGAAAAAATATATAAAAATATTCAGAAAGGACGAGAATTTTTGGCAACCCATAGTATGGCTCTCAGGTGTGTAATGATAGTTTTAGTTATGCTTCAAGATATTGCATTCAGTGGGAAACTTAAATGCCGCTATGAGATGTAGTTTGCCTTGCAGCCTATAGTGATGGCAGATTCTACATACAGATTGTAGATTCAGAAGCTACTAATTGTTTGTAGTTCGTTGAGAGGAAAGAGAAAAAAAGGGGGGGAAAATCTGACATTTTTTGATTTCTTTTTATAACATTATATTTCTGTTAAAAAAAATCGTAAATAAAAGAGACCTTCGCTGGACACGAATCCTGGCTCTGTCACTCAGACCAGAATGGGGAATAAGGGGAATGGGTAGGGGGGGGGGGGGA